TAATAATATTCAGAAACATATTTTTAATTTTTAATTTTCCATCCCCCAACCCTAATATTAATTTCTTCACATTTTATTTTTTTAACAAAGGTCAGAACTCAAAGCATCAATGTGAACCCTCATTAAAGCAAGAAGCTTCCCCCAGTGATTAAATGCCACCAGGGCGGTTTGCCTAAAAAAAAACGCCTGCGGGGCAGCGTACCAACACGTGTCTGCGCAAGGTGGACATGTCGGTGAAGGTTCTCTCGCAAGCTCTGCACTTGTAGGGCTTCTCCCCGGTGTGAATGCGCTGGTGGCGGCGGAGAGCGCCCTGCTGGGTGAAGGTTTTCCCGCACTGTTCGCAGAAATACGGCCGGGTCTCTAAAAACAACCACAAAAAAACAGGAGTTAGAAGACAGGTTGCCGATTGCAGCGTAAAAGCGTAAAGAATTTTTAAAAGGTCAACACTGATAAAGCGGTGTACACTGAGGATACGTGCTCGAGGCGCTGGTTTTTAAGGATCCCTGTTTCTCCTCACCTAAATCAAGGAGCTTATAAAAGCGCTTCTGGAGTAAAATATCGAAGGTAGCTCAGAGCCAACCTCCCGGTGCCGTTTACCTTCCCAGCCCCAATGAGTTTGTTCCATTACCTGCGTGGACGTTACTGTGCTGGGCTAGCGAGGCTCGCAGTCCAAACGTCTTCCCGCAAACCTCGCACTTGTAGGGCTTCGCGCCCATGTGGCAGCGTTTGTGGCATTTCAAGTATTCGTTGGTGGCAAAATGTTTTCCGCACACGTCGCATTTAAAAAGGCGCTCTCCTGAGTAAAGAGGAAAAAAAGACATTGTGAATTCCTTCAGCAGAATTTCGTACTTTGAAGTTGGCTTTCAAATGTCTTTTTATCCCTAGCAGCTCCCTCCTGCTTGAAATCTTTTCTGCGAGTCACAAAAACAAGCGTGTGTCTTTTCCAAATCCCAATGGGCCCTTTTCTAGCAGTATGAAGGGAGGCGATGGGAGGAACAGAAGTATTCAATGCCTACCTGTGTGGGTCCTTTTGTGGCCGGTGAGTTTGCCTCTATCAGCAAAGCAAGCCCCGCAGTCCTCACAAATATAGGGCTTTTCCCCTGTGTGGGACCTAAATGGAGCAAAATACAAATGACTGTTAATAAATTAGCTCTTGTAGCGCATTCTGAATGGATTTGAAACGACACTCTACACGCTACAGGCAGCATACTTCATTTTTTTAAATGAAATGAAAAAAATACATGCTGCTCAGTCAGGAAATAACATTGTTTGCCAGTCCAATGCACTAAAATTTAAGGTTTACCTTTTCCTCACCCTTGGGCCCTAAAAAACCCATGAGTTACATCTCACAGTATAAGCACCGGAAAGGAGAAAGCAGGAAAGAAGACAAGCTGCTGCTGTGCTAGAGACTGAAAGTACATCCAGACTGTCCCCAGCACCACGCCAGCAGCAGATCTCTCGGGACATCGTGAGCCACGTTCTTGGCTTCTACAATCCCTCCGCCTCACGTCCTCTGGCTCGCAAACTTTAACCGGCAGGATATTCCCATTTTTAAGACAAGAGGCACTAAGGAAAGTCAGGCAAGCAGTATTTGCGAACGCAGGCTGGGCATTTGGTTTTAAACCAGATCAAATCAGAGGAAGCCCAAGCCTCAGGTTTGGTCTTAGCACTGTGCTGACTTCCCTTATTCCAACCCCAATAGTATGACGTGCAAAAATCACGGATAATTTTAGAGTTGTCTGGCAAAATGCTGCAAATACGAGACAGCCAGTTACCCAACACAAACCCCGTGAGTCACCCCACACCTTACACACAGTGCAGCTCTGCTGCGTTTCAGCCAACACAGATTATCTGGACATTTCAGATGTTTCGCTGGGCCTGGATCAGCATACAACACAATTTTTTAAATCACCGTAAGAACACTTAGGAGACAGAAGCAAGCTACTGTCCCCGTGGCAGGAGCCCACAATCTCTAGTGACGCGATTTCTTTCATCTCGTTCAGCCCCCCAACAGTTAACCTCCTATTAGAAGCTATCTGCTACGCTCCCTGTTTGAAGCAAGATGGGAAATTCCATGGGATGATTCACTCTCTCCTGGGAGAAGACACATTTAACAGAGACACCACCAGAGAGCAACTCATCCAGCCTCACTCCGATGACTACAGGGGGAGCCCAGATGAGATGTCCAGCTCTTGCATCGCACACAAGAAATGAAATCCCACACCACATGGCTGGCTCAGAGTGACACAGAGCAAGCAGGGCTCAGCACCCGGGTCTCTGAGGCCCCTAATTCTTCAGCCTATCCTCCTTCTTTCATCACCTTATTTTGAAGACCGTCTCAACGGACTGGCTTTTCCTTACAAGTTCAGCTAGAGCATGTTTCAAAACCCGTACTAAAACCGATGCCACAACCAGCTGCAGACAAAGCCTTTGCGTCAAAGAATTAATCACAGATACTACAGGACAATTTGTATCCCAGTGTTCCTGTTGTAAGGACACAAGGAGAATGACTCAGAACTGGGAAGTCAGCAGAGGAAAAAGCAGCACTGAAGCACGCTGGGCATGCAGGGAGCGGTCACGGGAGCAGCAGGACCGGAGGCTGACCTGGTATGGATCTTCAGTTGTGATGGCTGAGCAAATCTGGAATGACAAATGCCACATTCGTAAGGTTTTTCTCCTGTGTGTATCCGCATATGGAACACCAGTGCTGTTCGGGAGCTGAGGATCTTCCCGCAGACAGAGCAGAGAGGGCGCTTGACTCTGCCTTCATGCTTCCGCATGTAATGCGTCCTCACATCTCTCTTCCTTTTAAAAGTAGCATTGCAGAGGGTGCAGGCAAACTGCCTTTCTTCAGTGTGCACGCAGGCTCGGTGCTCCTTCCAGCTGTTGTAACTAGCAAAGGACTTGCTGCAGATGTCGCACTGATAGACCTTCCCAGGCAAGCACTGATGGACATCTCTGCAGTGATCCACGTACTTTTTCCGGGAAACAAACTGCTCGTTACACTTATTGCACGTTATTACGTAGGCAGATTTCTTATTCACCGCGCTTTTATTTACCTTCTTTATTCTAAACTCTTTGTCTGATTCATGTTCTTCACCATCCTTCTCATTAGAGTATTCGTCCTCCTCATCGTCCTCCTCCGTACAGCCCTCCTCATTGTCTCTGCTATCTTCACCCTCTGAGCACCCCGCTTTGTCATCTGCCTCCTCCTCCTCACCCTTCATGCTCATTTCACCTTCATCTTCATTCTCTTCTTCACTCATTTTTTCACTTTTTGCCTCAGCTTCCTTATATTTCTGCTTCCGTTCTTCTTTCTCATTGCGACAGTCTGCTTCAGTACCATGTGAGCCCCCGGGTTCTTCTTCATGATTTGGGGCCTCTTCGTGCCTCACAGCCTTTCGGTGTTCAGCCTCCGAGGTCCCATTGCACACCTCTCTGTCACTGTCTTTGTCACAGCTTGTTGCGTTTGGTCTACGTGCAGGTGGAACTACCATCCAATAGACAGGCGTAAGTTTCCTCTCTTGCCCAGACTCATGGATTTTTCTGTTAAAACAAACAAACAACAGAGCACAACTTCAAAATGCTTAATTGTCTCAATTCAGACATGTTTGCCTCGCAGGAAGAGCCCTTTTAATTGTTCTTCACACCATTTCAGAAATTAACAGCATGCTTGGAGAGCCGAACAACAGGGAAATTTTGTCTAGAGTCGGACCAGATAATTAAAGAAAATTAAAACATCTCAGCTCATCAAGGATGGAGCCTCTCAAGTGTACGTATTCCTCATCTGACTAGTAACATAGGACAGACTGTAAATTTTCCTCCAAGGCCATGGTGGGCAGGATAGATAAGACATTAGGGACTTTAAACAAGGGAAATATGATTAAACTCTTATTTGGAAAAACAAAACAGCCTCCCTCATAAGCCATCAACTGCAGCAGTTAATTCTACTCATCACTGTGCAGTGCATGGAACAGGCTACGTCACTGCACTCGGGACACATCTGCAGTGTTCCTTCTGCTACTGGACTGAGCTACAAACAAATTCTGTCCTTTTGTAAGAGGGAAGTTGAGATCCAGTAGAAAACCACCCATCTCCTGTACCACACAAGCAGGGCACAGAGATGTTTGACATGTGCAGAGGCTTTCACAGTGCTGGAAACTACTGTGCCACTCCAACATCTTGTGTTCAGCCAGGCAGCACTTAATAAGCCTGTCTGGAAGCTCACGCTACCCAGCAAAGCAGCACACAGAATATTTGGCCCATGAAAGCCACACTAAAAAGAACCACACTGCCCTGATGTTTACGAAACGGGCATTTTCTCATGCATTTTAAACAGCTGCCGATTCTTTGCAGGCTCCTAGTTAAAACCCCAAATCTGAGGCTTCCAAAATCACTTAAGAGATCCAGTTGCACAAGTGCCCTATGATTCAATGGGAAACATTTGCCTGAATTCCCACTCCGGGAGACCTCCATCCAGTAATCCAGCCTGAGAGCTCGGTGAGTTCAACAGAAAAAAATCTGTGCCAATTTCAACACGCTTTTGATCAGATCCAAAGAATTCTGTAACTAAAGCAGTAAGGACTTCAGAACAGAGAGAAAACACATTTTCCTGCACACACGCACACAGACACCCCCACCCAGAGAATGCGGTACCTTAGGTGAGTGTTGTAAGCAGACCTCTGAGCAAAGCTGGCGGGGCAGCGGTCGCATTTATACAGTTTCTCCCCGGTGTGCGTTCGTATGTGGACCGTCAGGCCGCACTTGGAACCGATGACCTTGTCGCAGTACGGGCAGGCCTGGGGATCCCGCTTCTTCTTGTGCACCCTGCGGATATGGTCAGTTATGTCCTTCTGGTGCTTAAAGCTCTTGTCGCAGAACATGCAGGAGAAGCCCTGCTCGTCGCTATGAACGGTGAGGCGGTGCTGCTGGAGGTGCCGGTGGGTGGAGAAGAGCTGCTCGCAGGCGTTGCAGCTATACTTGATGGCCATACTAACGCCATGCTTCAGCTCCACGTGTGACTGGTACTGCTCGATAACACGGAACGATTCGTTGCACTTCTCGCATGCAATCTGTGGCAAGACCTTTGCCACATGCCGCGGTGATTTCCTACGTTCTGTTTTACTGGCAAATTTGCAAATTAAACTGTTTTCATCTTCCCGCTGCTCAGGCAGCATGTTCCCAGTTACTACGCAAGCTTCCTGTGACTGAGTCTGGCTTTGGAGAGAATGACTCTTCTCATTTTCCAGACTAGCAATGCTGAGTCCATTCCTGGTATCTGTCTTGTTACATTTCGGTAGTTTTGCTGTCCTGGATTTTGGGTCTGGAAAAGCATTGTCCTCTCGCTCCAGGCTTGCTGGTTGGCCTTCAATGAGTTCGTAGCCAGCCAGCAACTTTTTATGTTTTTGCCTATCCCAAAGTTTCTTCTGCACAGGTATCGCCACGACTTGGGAAGAGTTACTGGGTTTGCGGTCCTCTTGCTGGATGCGAGTCCACTGTGGCCCACCATTTTCACACAGGTGACCCTTCAGATGGAGGCTCAAATCTAACCCCTTCCTGCCCTCTGCTTTCACTTCTTCACAAATGTCAAGCAAATCCTTGCATTCAAGTCTTTCTGCTATTTCTTTCATCCGTTGCAGTTTTCCCGCTTCAATCTCCACTTCAGCAGTGTAAACGAACTCCAGAAAGGAGGTGAACTCTTCCGTGTAAATGTCTTGCAGAGTCACTGTGCAATTCTTGGCGTCCAGCATCTCCTCATGCAGGAAAAGCCCCTTGAAATAGTTGCTGGAAGCTGCCAAGACAGCTTTGTGAACCAGAAACTCCTCCTGAATTCCGAGATGTTGTGTGTGAACTGTCACATCACAGAGATGACCAAACTGGTACAGAGAATGCAGTGCCCTCAGGAGGTTAGGAGCAGCAACCTTGGATTTCATTAGAATTTTCTTTTTCTCCATCCTGTCAAAAAAAAAACCACCAAAAACCAGACAAACGTTTGAGTGCTTGCTCTCGCTCTCCCTCTTCCATGAGCTAGCTTCTCCTCACATATGACATCAATCACTTACACAAAAAGCTCAGTGGAGATCCGTGTCCTAATTCCTAACTTACAAGACACAGCAAAGACCTCAAGGGTACTTCTATCAACGCAACCGTCATCAGCAAACACAGTTTATTACAGTCACACATTTACACACTCCGGAATAACCCTTCAGAGCAAATATTCTGTAGCATGGATGGTAGCAGAAACTAAATACGACTAGTGTGATTGGCCCAGCTTAATAACAAAACTCCCTCCACACCAGCACTTTTCAATAGCAGAGGTCACCACCATTTATAGCGGAAACAAGCATCTTTCCTCACTCTTGTACGAGGCGGGAGCTGAAGCACAGCAAGTCCCTTCCCTGCTGATTGTTTCCAGGCTGGTGTTGAACCAGAGCCTGTGTTTTCACAGCCACACCAGGCTCCACTTGCTGCACCGGGCAGTCCCCTGGGATTAAAGCTGTGGATCTGGTTCAGTTTTGGTTCTGGTTTTTTTCCCCATGTAAGCAATCAGACCTAGGGGTTCATAATGGTAGTTAGTAAGCTTCTGTTGTATTTGGCCCCTTAAAATACAGGCACAAACTACACTTCTAGAAATAGCTACACAGTTTTTGAGGAGGTAATAGTGTTAAAATATTTCAAAACTGTTCCTCTATCCACAAACACAGGGGTCAGAAGTTTTTTTTGACATTTTCAGAAAGAACAATTTCCCCACCAGCTCTAGAGACGGACCCTAGCTACGATGACAGTAAATGTGAGGCCTGAGAACCCTGTGGCGTTCCTGCCTCAAACCCCATGACACCTGTACCGCTGGAATGTCTCATTTATCCTTGCCCATAAAGCACAGCAACAATGCTGGCAACCTTCCTGAGGCCTTCAGATGCTCCATTCCGATCCTCTAAGCCCGACGACGATATTCCCCATCCAGCGTGGTGGTTAGATGTCTGTTATTTAGCACATGCTTACCACAGCTTTGCAATCAAGGGAAGAACGCGAGGCCAAAACAAACAGAGGAATGAGCCTGTTGGTGCTGACAGGCTCCGTTTCAGCTTGGCTTGCTGTGCTTCCCTCCCACCGTAATAATGGCTGGCAGAAAATGACATCAAACTGTACTGTCCCTTCTCATCTAAACTATGTTTGACATTATATTAAATACATTCCCGGAAGAGATAAACTCTCTGATTAACAAGATAAAGGCGTCTTCAACAGAAAGTACGGGGAAGTCGAACACACTACATAGCCTGGAGTCAACAGGTTTGAACAGACAAGCTTCAGAGACAGCTTGGAGAACACTAATTACAAGTCACCACAGCAAGCACCGAAGAGGATAATCATCTTCTCACCTGGAAGGTGTATGTCATCCAATGCCTGTGACACCGCAAACGATGTTTAAAAACTACATTTAAAGATTTAAACTGATTTTCTAATGACCCCGTGAAGTGCCGCTGGAATGTGTAACTGCTATGTCAAGCAAGATTTCCACTGGATATCAAATGTCTGTAAATTTGAGTTATGCAGATCCTCAAATATTTGTACTGAAGTGGGAGTTTGATCCTGAGTGCTCGGTGAGCTCCTACGAGAAGTCCCGCCCCAATCCATGGGACTGTGTGGGATCTCGACCTTCTGGTCCAGCACAACCTCCTCACTGCTGGTGAGTTCAAAGGTGTTTACAAAGAGAAAAGAAAAGAAAACAAAAACACTACTACAGGACAAATATTTAGGAAAAAATATTTAGGAAAAGTAACTAGAAGAAAAAGACAAAGCATGTGTTGAAACATCCCACAGAAGCTGGAAATTGAGGAGGACAATGGGCAAAATAGCATCATCTAAATTCTATCAGAAGAGGGCAGCTCACAGCCAGACTCCTACAAACACACAATAGTTACCATGGTCTCTGCCTTATGGCCAGCAGGCATCTTTAGAACGCTCCCAACTCAGCATCTGTCAACTATTCCCCACCACCGATCATGAGCTATGTGCAGACATCACCCTCACGGCTCCTGCGGCACACTGGCAGGCTGCACGAAGAAGCACAGATCTGGAGGTTAACACCAAACTCAGCCCTCAAATTCACAAAAGCCTCCGCTTACTCTGTCCCCTGGCTTGCTCTTCTTCATGTTTTCCAGCAGGTTACTGTTCTCCATTGCTGTGCAGAACTGACCCCAGTGCTGTGAAGCTCACCCATCAGTAGTGCTTAAAGAAATCAATGAGCAGAGCATGTGCTAATTTCCTCCTTCTCCTTTTTAAGATCGCCATCTGTGATAAATTCTTGATACGCGCTCCCATGTGAGCTCTACTAAGGCTAGTATCTGATACTGAGCCAAACGGAGAGGCGCGTTCCAACACCACCGCTCGAGTTCAGCTAGTTCTAGATTCAATCAGCCCAGGAATAGTTTACCGAAACATCTTCCCAATGAAAAACGCCACAAGCTAATCAATAGTCACTTTTTTTTCCTTCAGAAAAAACGAGACTGTACTTTTTGTTACCATTTGGAGAGGAAATTGATCTTTAGTTTTCTGAAGTGGTGTTGAATATAGTTTGTTTCCATATGCTTTACAGTTTAATAAGGTTGCGAGTAGAACACAATGTTTCAGGGGTATAAAACAGTATGTCAGATTATTTTTTTTCCCCTCAAAAAAGAGTTCAGGTAACAGAAAATTTCCAAGTATTTTGCTTTCACTTTGGGGGTAAGGAAGCAGCCTCTTATCGCCAGTGGATTAGGAAAACTGTTTTCTCCTTACCCTTTACACTTCATTAACACTTAATGACAAGAGAAGAACCTTGAGGAATTCCCATCCACAGCAACGGCAATGAGGATAACAGATGTTGCAGTAAATCATCCAGTTACTGAATTAGAGAACATACTTTGTTCTAATTACAGGTTAATGTTGGCTTGAAATAACCCCGGTAAGCAAACAGGAAAAATAATGGTAACATAATTAACAGCATAAGGTTTAATTCTGTCCCTCTGTTTATGAAGACAAGACGCCCTACTCTTCATCTGCTCTGAGCTACAGCACTCTGTTTTCTGATGCAACAACATAGCCAAGAGCAGCTATCTAATTCAGGATAATTAACACAGTAACCAAGATGTTTGTAGGACGGACAGTAAGTATTTCTACAGCATCTCTGTTTCTTGGAGTTTCAGTGTTCACATCTACTTTGCAGTTTCAGTGGGCCAGAGCCTTAACCGACGTGATCCGGTACAGCCTTTCTGAGGTGAAGACAGGGAAGGCACGCTGAGTTATACACCCAACTATCCAGGGGAGAAAAACCCAACAAGACAAAGAAATTGAACTGCATGCTTCTCATAAATTGTTATTTCACATCAACATGCCCTGCTTTGTACAAGGTATAGATCATCTTTGGATTGCTTGATTTTCCCCAAGCCTTTGCAATTAGATCTCTAGTTTCTCTTCAGAGAATCAAGGATGAAATTCTTTCTTATTTTCCCAGGAAGGGTTCCTTTAGACTCATGTACAGCAAAGGGCCCCAGCTGTGATCAAAATAGGAATCCTCAAAACAACGATGGTGTTAGAAACAAAAAAGAGCCCTGGTATGCGCTGATTTATCATGTTTATCCTCTGCAGAAGCTACTCAAGTATCCCTCTGAAGTGCTGGTCTGGTGTAAGACTCCTCTTGATGCCCATGCTACCACTTGACAAAATAAGCCCAACGTGGGCAGATCACAACAGCAGTGCAATGCCCCAGATGCTGACCAATAAAATGAACCGCTTGAGAGATCAGATCAAACCACCAGAGCTGCAGCACAACAGGCAGAATCCTTAAGAGCACACAAACCACCCTAAGCAAAGGGGAACAAGACTCACTGCCCCAAATGTGCAAGATCCAGCTTCAGTCCTCAAACAAGCCACACCTCAGATATTTTTCTGAGCTTTGTTCATTTTTTTCTTGTAATGTTTACCTAGCTTAAAGGACTGTGATGATGAAACAGATTAATGACAGTGAGATAATAAGCCAGCATAGATGAAATACAGCATTACGAGGCCGTAACTAACAGCTGGAGTTACTCAACTGTATGAATTACCTGGGAAACAGAGCTTATTCACATGAATTCCCACGCAATGCAGATACATAAAATCAGGTACGTGAGGACACCGAGTGAACAGTAACAACTGCCACAGCTTCTGGCCTCTTTGTGCACCGCTGGGTAAGCTGAGGAATTGCCATCCAGAGCACCCCAATTTATCCTGCCCCAGACTATGGGACAAATTCCTCCAAGAGTTTGTTGCCTTTTTTTTTTTTTTAAATATACAGAACTTTGAATTCTGCCTTGCTAAAAACCAAGCATGTTACTGTAGAGACACAACTAGAAACACTCTCCATGTGTAAAAATCAAGGCTCACCACACCTCCCGGGTGGAACAGCACTACCGCTCACAATCCTAGCTGAAAGACACTGCACTGTGTTATTATTATTGGGGGCTGGACCTTGGTGATCTTTGAGGTCCCTTACAACCCAAACCATTCTGTGATTCTATGATTTCTTATGCCACTGACAACACACAGTTGTGATCGTCTCCTAGTTTTTACCGTCTCCTTTATGCGCCCAACAGATTTCTATGCATGTAACAGCCTGCAGCGTACACAGCTCCTCCCTGAGCCCTGCAAGGAAATAATAAACTAAAGACATTTTTCCCTCTGCTCGAGAAAACAGTGAGCCTCCTCACGCCGTGGCGTGCGGCCAGACCTCCAACCAAGACCAGCACGAAGATGGGGGCAGGCC